TCCATCATTTCAGGAGAAGACAGTATTGGAGTAAGAAAGATACTCACTGCAGGATGCCTGTAAGTGAATCTTGTTCCTGTAGCTAAAATACGGTTTGATTTAAAAGCCACATTTCATGAATATTATCTATTGAAAAAATAAAGTATCTATCTACAATAATGAATGAATGAATGGAAATCCAAAGCCTCTGTAAATTTTCACTGAAATTAATAACAAATTTAATTTTTTTAAAAAAAAGAATTAAGTTAGAGTAAGGATGGCAATGGAACCACCTTACCTCTGTACCTTGATTTGTGCCACTACTAGAACCTCTACTCAGAATATTATTGCTTTTCAATTTTTGACTCATGCACTTTTAACTTGTTAGTTAAATTTGTATCTTCTAGGCTGCAACACTTCCATGATACATCTTCAAGGATATGAACATGTACGGCTAAGCACAATTGATAACAGTGCATCTAAATTCCAAAATCAATCTCCATAATAGTCTATGTGTTTCCTATTGCCAAAGGGGCCCTTTAGAGTAGTGAGAGAAGATCTTCACCCTGAAACCCACAGCGTCCCTTTTCAGCAGGAAGTAGCTAAGAGACTACGCCATCCCCTTTTCCTTATGAATCAGGGTGAAGTCTCTCTCGGGAAGGAGTGATAGGGAATGGCAAGGGACACACTAACAAAGGAGATTAATCAGAACTGGCTTTGACAAGCACTGTGGCAATTGGACAATTAAAACAGACATGGGGCGGGGAAGAAGAATGAACTGGGGAGGAGGGTGGAGAAAACAGTGCAACAATGAATGAATGAAAACCCAAAATCTCTGTAAATGTTCATTAAAACTAATAAAATTTAATAATAAAAAATAAAAATTTTTAAAAAAGAATAAAGTATCTGATGACAACAAAAGAGATTGTGGTGTTACAGTGGTTGTAACCCTCTGTTAGTGGCTGTAACCCACTTGCCGAATCTTTTGGGGAAAGGCAGGGTGATATGCTTCCTAGCAACTGTAGGCTAAAAACCTGTGGGCAGTTGTCACTGTTAAGCGGGGTCCCCCAGTCGGGGTCCCCCAGTCGGGGTCCCCCAGTCAGGGTCGACTCCCCAGCACCCAATATGGATGGGAAATAAGAAGGGGCTGCAGTAATTCCACCAGAGGGCGTTATTCCCACGGAAAGGGACTACAGCAGTGTTCCTAACTTACTTTGCAATCTAACCATCTTTCAGGGGTTTTGTTTCCTTGTTTTGTGTATGTATGCATTTCTTAAAAGCTCCATAATGAACAATGAATATGGCCGAGAATATAATGCTAGCTAAATGATTCAGAAAATAAACCTTTTCTGTCCACTGTTCATGGCAATGGGCTTGAGTGTGTCAGAGGTTGTGAAGATGGAACAGGATAAGATAGTGTTCAGAACGGCTGTTCAGAGTCACTCTGAGTCACCGTTGACCCAGCGGCAACAACAACAACCATAACAGCCATGGTTCTGGCTCACAGTGACCCTGCATGTGCCAAGGTAGAGAGTTTTGTAGTGATTGGAAGGTTTTTTGGAAGTTCTTTTTCAGGCCTTTCTTCTAATATATCTCAGGGCAGACTCGAACCTGCAATGTTTGGGTTAGCAGTTCAGTGCATTACCTATTTGTAGCATCCAGGAGCTCCTCAAGCCACATAGAGAGATGGAAATGGATGAGAAAAGAAGCAAGCATTCATATATTGTTTATTCACACTATAAACAACCTCCACGTTAAAAAGGGGAAAGTGAGGCACAGAAGTTAAGTCCTAAGAATGGATTAAAACCTTGGCAGACTGGCTCCCAAGCCCATGTTCCTAACATATAGAAAAATATAGAACCCTGACATGGCAAGCTTTATTTCCGAAGCCATTTAGCTATACCACTAACAAGAGCAGAGATCTAGAAATACACACAACAAGGCTAGAAAAAGCTTATCATCTAAAAGCAATATTTATGATTTTTTTATATCATCTCTTCAGGTACATACTTTCCGTTAAAGAAGATATATTCATGAAATTCACTTATTTGTCAGTCATATTCAATTGAAAAGCACCTAAAATTCTAGACTGAGAGAAAAAAAAAAAGAAGGATCTGTTCTCAGATTCAATAGTAGAGAAGGACCCACAGATAGAACTTTGGGTTCCAGGGACATTTATTCAGTGAACAGTGTTTGCTATTAGGTTTCTGTCTAATGAACCCATGATCTTGGGAGCATGCTTAACTCTCCTTCTTGTGTAAAAATACACTGGGGCCACACACACATCTCTGTAGGCTAGCATTGTAACAGGAAAATAAATGTCTAAGCATTGTTAGGAAGGCAGAAAACATGTCTTGAGAAACTTATTTCCCCGACTAGAGAACTAGTAGCTAAGACATTTTATTCATCCACAAATAAGCTTGTTTCAGAACTTCATCACATCCAACATCCTTAGATGTACTTTCCGAGAACATTCGGGCTTTGTGTGTGCTCAGCACGCACATACAAGCAGATTTCCATGAGCTTCAATGCGAAGCTTCTCAAGTATTCAAAGTCCTTTTTATTATTTTAGTCCATTCCCTAAATATTGCCTAACTTTGAAGAATTAAGAAAGTAAACAAAAGAGGATGAACAAGTATATTTACTTCAGTTGTGTAAATTAGCAATACACCGGTAACAACATATGCATGAGATAGGAACTAGTTAATTAAATTACTTCTAGAATATCAGTATATTGATCTATTCGGCAGGATTTTAAAACTGGAGGTTTTATATAGATGAATATAGAAGTAAAAAAAAAAAAAAACCCAAACAAAAACAAAAAAAAACAACCCAGAACAGTGAATATAATACACTAGCGTTTAACTGAAAAAAATACACACACACCAGCCAACCTGGAAACATCTGTTGATTCTGGAAAGCAAACTAGATAACTGAGGACATAGAGGAGGTTATTGTTGGTAGATGCCGTCAAATCAGGCACTACTCAGAGACCCTGTGCACAAGAAGTCAGAACCCTGTCCTGAGCCATCCTCATTGCCTCTGACACACTTGAGCTCATTGCCACAGTTTGCTTTTTTTTTTAAAAAAAAAAAATCAGGTCATCTGATTCATCAGGATGGATGGTGAAAAGATTGAGATAGTTAACAGTTTTAGTTTACTTGGCTCCACAGTCAACACTCGTGGTACCAGCAGCCAGGGACCTCTCCAAAGTACTGAAGAGCAACAATGTCAGGATGGAGACTAAGGTGCACCTGATCCAGGCAATAGTCTTTGCAATTATGCTCTATGCATCAGAGAGTTGGACAGTGACTAGGGATGATAGAAAGAGAAGTGATGCCTTTGGGCTGTGGTGCTGGAGAAGAGTACATGGAATGCTAGGAGAACAAACAGGTTTGTTCTGGAGAAGGTAAATCCGGGCTGCTCCTTGGAGTCAAGGATTCTGAAACTTCATCTGACATACTTTGGGCATGTTGCAAGGAGGGACTGGTCCTTGGAGAGGGACACCATGTTTGGGAGAGTGGAGGGGCAGCGCACCTTCGATGAGATGGATCGATTCTGTGATTGGGGTGGTGGGAGTGAGTGTGTCGGAGATGGTGAGGTTGGCACAGGATAGAGCAGGGTTTAGGGCTCTTGTACATAGAGTCTCTATGAATCGCAAGCGACTTGACGACACATTACAACAACAATCAGGTCAATAAATGATCTTTTCCAACTATAACTGATTGTACACATAAGGTTAAGACTTAAATAACCAGCCTTTCGAAACTGTAGTAAACAGTGTAAAGAAGCCTTTGCATCAACTAATTTGGGGTTCCTGTGCTCTGTTCCATTCATATGTGCTTCCTCAATGCGCTATCTTGCTTTGGGGACAATGGCCTCATAGGAAAGGTCAGTTTACCACTGCTGGTAGAAGCACTGATGCTGTATTCTTCCGTCTGTCCTTTAGATAAGCAACACAAGAGCAGCTATTTCAGACCATTTGCTTTTTGGATATATTTTACATCTGCAAGCTTTAAAACATTAAGTGCAGACTTCCTGGAAGAACGGACACTACATTCTCTGGACGCTGACTCGGGTCCGCCCGGGTTCATATTCACTTGGGCTCAGCCACAGTCTGAGGGAAGGGCGTCCAGGAATAGCATTTCCATTTTTATCCTGTTCATTCTTGAAAATCCAACAGGAGATTCTTTTCACTCCCTAAAATTAACTGCTTCATATATAAAGCTCTCCCTGAGTTCCTGATCTTACGTAGAGTGGCACCATCTTTTACAAAACTTATAGTATATGATTCTTTTCAAGAAATTTAAAAGGATAAACTACAGTTTTAATTTTTTTAAATAAAGGCAATTTTCTGTAGAAAATTCTCTTCCTAAATTTAAAATAAAACACACATGAGCATTCTAAATGAAGGGGAAAATTAGCCCTATTATGCCAGGACAGGCAGGCAGAAGAACCAGGAGTGAATAGCACAGTGGTGAAATGTATTCTAACCTCAGACCAACCTCCATTTGAATCCCAGCTCTGCTGTCCATCCACACGTGCTTTCACTTTAGAAAATTTTCACAGCTATAAAATGGAAATTGTGTTACTTATCGCAGAACTGTTGTGAGAATTTAATGAGTTGAAGCCCAAATCTTATGTCAGTCAGATGTTGATATGAATTAATTAAAAAAATGACAGGGATTTAAAGCCAGCGCCACATCCTTTGGGTGTCTTCTGAAATCAAAGACACTGAAAGAGGTCCACACTCTACTCACCTTAGTCTGAAACAGGAGAGTGAAATGATTTTTCCAGAACTTCAATGAAGGAAATTTGAGAATGTAAAAATGTAGTGTTAACCGAGACAAGAGTAATCATAAACCAGGTGGAAAGAAAAGAAAGCAAAGGTGGCAGAAGCCTAATGCAGCGAGGACAGAGAGGGCAGGGGACTCCCAGCCCTCGGAGAGGCTGGGCAGCAACCGGGCTGCTCAGAGCTCATGAGCACCTCATTGAAAACGCTGGGCAGGCTGTGAGCTTACCAAGACTGGACTGGGACACCGCCATGGGCCTCGGAGGCATCGCCGTGGAGGTGGGAGCTGGATGCAGATTCATGTGATTCATGGACTGATTCATCACCTTCCTCGGGTCTTGCCATGTGGTGATTTTTTCTATGTGACTAGAAGAAGGAAAACAATTATCTTTTTAATTGCCAGCATCATTATCATTATTACCATCTCCAATAACAGCACAACAGTTAAATGATGCTGGGGAAACAAAGCACTCTTCTCTTAACTTCTGTTCATCAATGGCTGGCAATGTCTGTTTTCATCCAAGGACAAGCAGGACCATTTCCCCTCCATCCACATCAGACGTGCTGAGGACTTTGCAAGACTCTCTCTGACCCCCATGCCTACTACTTCACTGTCCAATCTGCCTCCAGACTCACAAACTGCTATCTTGCTTGAACTGGGAAAAGTCTTAGCTTATGTACATCTCATCAGCCCTCGAGTGGCTCCCACTCTAACTTCTCAGGTGCTCAGACTGCCCACCATGGTGTCAGACATGGTATGAACTCTTTTCTCGAAGCTGAACCTGAACTTGTGCTCTCCTGCTCTCTAGCCCTCCCACATGCTCACAGCTCATTTAATTGACATAATGAGGTTACCAACGCCTGTCTTTAGCCAAAGATGGGGCTCTTGGAAGCATCCTGGTATATACAACATCAGTGAGCTCTTATTAAGTATGAGATACTCTGATGTCCACAGATATCATACACAAAACCCTTAGGAGGCTTAGCTTCTACCAGGCAAGGTAACAACTATGTGCCCAGGAGATAAATACTGGGAACTAGGTGTATGAAGGTCACTAAGTGTCAGAGTACAGGGGAACTGAGAAGTTGAGGGACCACAAGTTTTGTTGACAGAAGGTACAGTCAGACTTCTCAATCAGATTATACTCAAGCTCTTTGTAAGTCTAGCAATCACAAGGGAAACGGATGAATTCAAACAAACAAATAACTTATTGCCAGAGAGTCCATTCTGACTCATTTGACGCAGTAGGACAGAGAAGATATGTCCTTTTAGTGTTTGCAGGCTGCAAATCTTTAAGAAAGCTGATTGCCACATCTATCTCCCAAAGAGGAACTCTGGTGGACTAGGGGGAAGAAAGCTACACTACCATCCTAAAGACATATGGTTCAAAGCCACCAACTGCTGGAGTGTCAGCTATGAGTCTGTTATCCCTCGAAGACACACAGTAACAACATCATCTCCTAAAAAGAGAGATTTTTTTAAAGTTTCAAACAAAAGTTTCAAAAAATGGTTGAACTACCATACCAACATTTAGTTCATGGCCAAAAGCTTTGACCACCAAGTCACCAGAGTGCCTTAGCTGAAATTAACTTAGAACTCCAGGCATGAGATGCTAAGGTCTGATGCTAAATCTCCATTTTCAATCAAGACTAACTTCTGTTTCAGGAATACATCCCATCATGCCTGTGTCGTTGTTGTTGTTACCTGTGGTCGAGTTGCCTGCGACTCATAGCGACCCTAAACCCTACTCTGTTCTGTGCCAATCTCACTGTCTTGGACACCCCCACCCCAATTACCCCAGTCACTGAATCTATCCTCCTCATAGAGGGCCTTCCCCTCCTGCGCTGTCCCTCCACCCT